AGTTGTCACAAATCAACACTCATAATAAAAGTCAAAGTTTCATGAGGACATAAAGTGTCTCCTGCTTTTATATCTTCTTAAAAACAACATCCAGGTGAGTCTCAGTCACGGCGTCGGCCCGTTTAGCGCGCCAGCGTTTCACTTTAAACCCCCTGTTGGCGCGTGGGCGTCAATGACGTCACATCCCCGCAGGACACGCCCTGTTTCTAACCCTATCACAGCCATCGTTACATAAATGATGACTGGATCAGCATGTTCACCTGCAGCACGGTGGGAGGACACATGTAAAATCACACTAGCAAACATCAGAACACAATTTGGTAAATATTAAAATAAACAGCTGCTAATATCTACATTAATTTTTAACCAGGAGCGTCGATGTATTTAACGCCACTGTCTAAAATAGCTCAATAATGCCCGTCTGTGTCAATCAGGTAGAAATGACACGTAACACGTCACAATAAGGCCTTTCCTGTGTGTTGCTCCAACAAGGGGAACTTAGTAGCACATAGTGTTCAAAACACAGCAGCCAAGGCACGAAACCAAAGACCCGAGTAGGAAATCGTGCTGCCCGTGAGAAAAAGACACGATGCACAGACACGCACACGGTTCACGTCCGTGTTTGTAGAAGAAATACTTTTTGTAAAGGCATCAGAAAGGGCAGCGCCTTCTTTGTGCACCAGGGGGTGCCATCGTTCTCCTAAAACGTCTAAATCTGTCGCAGAAAAATACAACTTTAATCATAAGAGGGATTCAAATACAGATTACAGTGAAAACAGGCTATAAAGTGATGTATCAACAGATTTACTACAATCAGAACTGTATGCATGAGCAGCCATGTGGACATAAATCAGTCAGAGTAGTTTGTTCCATTTAAAATAGATTACACTGTATTTTACACAAGAATTAATGTTTTAATACAAACAATATTTTTTTAACCTCTCACGCAAAAAAACAAAGATGAACTAAAACGCTGTCCTTCATATTTTGACGTTCTTATAATACAGGGACCAGAAGCGGCATCGCAGTGATCGCACGCGCTCATCGTGTTTTTATTGGTGTGATATTAGTGTTATGAGCGGTGGCGTTTCTTCCCGACGTCACATTCGGTGGATCAACAATCATCTGTGCTTCTTTGCTCAGAGGCAAACCCACCCTGACCTGAAATCATCAACGGACCATGTTGGAGCCACTATCTGGTTTTGGGTAGTCTGCTGTTTCTGTTTGTCTGCTTGCTCAGGTTGTTCAGGACGCAGTTGTTAGCCAGCGATGCCAGTCTGGAGTTAATCGCATCCTTCCTCTGCTCCCAGCTGCACTCGCCCCCATCTTCCTCATCTTCTTCATTGTCATCCACCGGACTTTCCTCATCGCTGCGCACGTCACCCTCGATCTGTGGAGAAGAATAAAAGTTAACCATCCGATTCCTCGTTTCCTGCAATCGCCGCCTGCTTAAACAGCCCCTCGGCTCACCTTGCCCACGAAGGCAAACCTGTAGACCATGCGCAGGATGAGGTAGGCCCAGTAGATGTGCAGCAATTGTAGCACGAACAGAAGAGCGTTGAAGAAATAATAACCAAAGAAAGGCTCGTAGAACTGCATTGAAACGATCAGCGTGGTGTGGATGATCCTGCAGGGCAAACACAGAAACAGTGAGATCAGCTGTTCCTACGAACTCTCGAGCTTCAGAGTGTCGTACCGACTGTTGGAGAATCACTTTATCTGTGCTCTAAGACAAACCTAGCTGGACATTTACACACCAACACATGAAACCACGTCTGATTTAACAGTTTCTCACCTGCTTGGAAAAACGTACAGCCTCGTGACGAGGAACACCAGAGCAAAGAGGACAAACAGGACGTCGCATGTCGTCGCCCACAAGGCGTAGTGCAGCATCTTACCCACCTGTCGGAAACAGGAAGGTAAAAGTTCCTGTGAACACGTTTAGGTTTCCTCTAAGCGCTGCAGGTGTGAGCCCCCCTCCCCACAGCTTCCTGTTCATCGGCCCTGACAGGAACGACCTGCTCAGGTGTTTTCAGGTTATGTCATGTTTGATTTGTGGTCACACAATTACTGATGTTCTAATCT